TGGGGGGGGAGGGAGGGAGGGAGGGATGGACGGACAGATAGACAAACAATCTTTATATCAGGTTTATTTTTATTTTACTTAAAGTGTTATTCCAATTCTTATCTATTGGAATTGTTTCTAGAGAGTCTGTGAAATTTGTAACTTTCAAAGATTATAAACATCCTTTCAGTGCTTGCTTTTCAATAAAAGAACAAGTCATCACATCTCCTAGCTCATATTTTAATATGAGTGGGATTAAAAAAATAATCCTTGCACTGGTGATGTTACCTAGTTGGATAATGAAACGTCTGCAAGCAAACAACCAAGCTCAGAGAGCACCAAGAACTCCAATCGATCGATTGATAGATAGATATTCATCCCCAGAAGTATTTAGAAGTTGGTGTTGCCTTGTCAGTAATCCAACCACCATTAGCTCTGTAGTATATTGTTGCTCATGGCATAACTTGCTCTCAGGAAAATTCAGGGAAGTTAGAGGGGAAATTGAGGACTGATTTGACCTCATTGTGTGATCATCAAGGCACCATGGGATTTTCTTTGCTGTATAATTAGGTTTAGTCTAAATCAAATATTTTTCCTCTTGGGGTATTGATAAGAGAATCGTTCATTCTCCAGGCCCGTTTTAAATTGCATTGGGGCAGTTTAGTCTTGCTTATCTTTGCTTACCTTGTTGTGTCTTTGCTTAGTATGATTCTTGTCACACATGAACACAGTTTGTCCCAGTCACTGCAGGGTCAGTAATGACTGAGCGCAGACCAAAAAACAAACAAAACAGGACCAGATTTCAGGATGTAAAGTTTGTGAATCCCAGAACTGTATTCATTCTAACTATAATTCACTTTTTAGTCCAGGGTTGCATTTGGGGGTATACTGTGATCCTATTTGCACAATGCTGATATTAAAATGCCAATTACAGAGCAATTTCTCTTTTCTCAGGAAATGATGTGTATAGTACTTCAGTTTGGTGTCAGTTGGAAGGTGCTTTCCATCCATCCCTAACTACAAGGAGAAAAACATTTAATCCAATAACCCAGTTACTGGAGGAACAAAATCAAAATGTTCAAGTCCAGTAGAAGCATGAGGGGTGGGAATAACACTGTTTGCCAGCATGGAAATAGAAGGAGAAGCAGATCTCTCCTCAGTGTAAAGAATTTGCAAATACGTTGTGCTTATGTCTGTGTTTGAGCAGTTAAACTTGAGACTGTAGATAGATGGTTATTGTGCTATATTATGTTAAAGCAAGCTCCTTTTTTACCTTTAGGACAAAATGTTTCATTTCTGGGTCAATACATTCTTCATACCAGGACTGGAAGAAAATTCTGACAAAGTAGAAAATGGAAGTCTTCTTGGAGATCAGGAACTTGATGGAATTTTCAGTACAGAGCGTTCAGATAATGACAAGGAATATTTAATCCTTACACTAACAAAAAATGATTTGGACAAGGCAAATAAGGACAAGGCAAATCGATATTTTTCTCCAAACTTTAGAGTAAGTATTTTCAAAGCAATCAAATAATGGGACATAAACTGTGTGCAATTTATGTTATACATTGTGGTCTCTGTGATTCACACACATGGCTTATGTGCCTGCATAGAACCCTAGTCAAAACTTTCTAGAACTTATAGAATTGTTTTGTGAGAATTCCATCTCCCCCGATACCATGCAGCTAGGCTTGGCTGCATCCGAACCCCTTATTTTAAACTGCTGCAGCAACAGTACACTTGTCATTGAGCTGATATTCTTTCTGCTTATTAGTATTATTTATTATTTCCTAATTTTTTCTCAGATTTTCTGCAGAGTTCTTGAGTTGTGCATCAGCACACTCTGTCCTGTTTCCCAAGTTCTAATATTGTGGGAATTGATTTTCTTCTTGGATGGGCATAAAATGTGCTTTTCTGCCTTGGTGAAATTTGTGCAGTAGAGACTGCCAAACATTCACTAAACAGATTTGTCACAATTGTTCTTCTCATTCATGAGCTGCTGTCTAGTATCAAGTGTTAAGGTTGGCAGATTCTGCCCTGCATCAAAGAATGCCTCCACTGGTGGATAATTTCAGACAATCTTCCTGATGAGTTGCTTTCATTCTTTCCTCCCTACATAGTTCCTCCCCAAAAATGTTCTGAGCTCTCTGCATCTGCAGTTACCTCTTCCAACAGCAAACATCAAGATACATTTAAAAACCCCTCAATGTTTGAAAGGCATATCAAATCTTTTAAGGCATGTCTGTATAATGTCTATTCATTTTCATGGAAGTCTGATATGTAAACAAACAAGGTCAGATAAATTCAATCCCTATACTGCACTTTATGTTAAGGAAGTATTCCTTATTTATCATATATATATATATATATATGTGCTAGCTGAACAGCGATAGACCAAACAGATATCAAAATTAGCAGAAAACGATATAATAATTGAGAGGAAGAAAGGCACGGAGGCAGCTGGGTTTCAGAGCTCACATACGCATCAAAGACCAAATATGTAAATGAGTCAAGCTCAACGGAGGCCAGTAGAGATTGTCATGACTGGCAGATTCTTATACAGATATTAATAGAAGAAACAGACAAAGCAGTCAAAGGGTATAATAGTAAATAGAAAAACAGAGTCCCAGACTTAGCTAATCATAGAGCAATCTCACTTTATGGAACGTGGGAAAGCTTGCTAACAAGTGGTTTAATAAACTCAAGCCAGCATGATGTAAGACGTAATTTGGTAACAGCTCTGCCGGTGACTTAAGTGTTTGAGTGCACACACAGGCAGTGCTGGTAGAGAATGTTATAACTGACTGGCAACACTGAGGATATCCATCTTCATCGTGGAATCCAGCATTAAATACCTATGAGCAGCAGCATGCTTAATGATCAACCAAGTTTATTGTGCTCTCAATTTTTACAAATCTGTAGTGGCAATAATCAAGCTTTGCTATAAGCTTACTGTGCTCCTTTCTAATCCATGTTCACTTCACAAGAATATGTGTCACTGATCTTCTCTGGGGTATTTCCACTAGCAGAGTTCTGGTAGTTGGCCATGTAGGACTTTGGGAGGACCATTCTTCCTTTTGTCGCTTTATGACATCCCCTTTTAAATAGCTTGCTACTTACCCATGTATGTGAATCATAAGCCACAGTGAAGAATAACTAGTTGCTTCCCTGTAGCTGCACTTCTTCAAGTGGTCATCTGTGAAATCACACAATCTTCCTTCAAATACTTGGTATTTCAGTGATCTTTCAGATTGGGTTTTAGGAACTGGTAGATGCAAGCTACATCTGGTTGCATGGGGCAGGGAGGGGGGGAAAGGGGAAACAATTCTGTAAACTCTGGAAGACTTCAGAATGGACCCATCTGTTGAATTCACAGATGACAGCTCCAAGAAAGGGAAGTAACCAGTTCATAAACTTTCAGATAAATGTTGGGGGGAAAAAAATAACGAGTGCACCTAGTTAAAATTTAATGTTGGATGGTCCCTTTATCAGGATCAGCCAGAGTGCTACACAGAGGTATGCAAGTTTTTCATTCTCTAAAAGTTTTCATCAGGCAAAGTGGTATAAAAACAGATAAACAAAGAAATAAAAAGTCTAAATTAGCCTAGATGTTGTAGTCAGTTTCCTGAATTTAGACTTACTCTAAAAATGAAGGCTTCAGGTTAGTTACTGGTAGGTATGTTGGATATTCAGCAATATCTAAGTTTTAATAATAAACTATGTAAAAAGCAGACATATATTCAAAGAAATTATAAGTTTACTGTTAACTTTTTATATTGAAAAGACTAAAACACTTAATTTTTTAATATTAATATACTAATATATCTGTGCTGGAAAATCCATCCTGCTTATTTTGGCATGATCCAGTCTTAGTTGAATTCTGTTCAATAAAGTTTGGAAAAGAAAATGAGTTTTCTTAATTTTATTTTGGAATTCATAAGCACAAATATATGATATGAAGAAAGGTTATTTTGTTCCCCTGTTTTCTGTAAAAATTCCTATGAGCTTTTAGACCCACTAATTCAGATACTTGTCAGAATCAAGAGGAAGAGAGGGAAGAGGCGCATCAGCCTTGCTCTACACACTTAGTAAGGTATCTCCAGATTTGTCTCGGCTGAAACCCAGAACAAGGAAGATGTTTGGAGCTCCAGTTTGCCAGATGCAAGTCCACTGTGGCCAAACCTCTGAGCCAGAAAGTACACAGAAAAGAAATGCACACCTCCAAATTAATGGGAATGCTCAAATCAGGAAAGTGTTTGACATAATTGATGCTGCTTTGTAGCTTTCCATTACTTTTTGTGCAATGCTAGAGTGATCTTTTTAGTTTGCATGTAATTAAATATATATTTGCATTGTAGCAAATATTTCATTTGTGTTTTATGTTATAGCTGGGCCAGACAGTAGCTCTTCTAAGCACATATTCCTATTCTCTTTTTTTCCAGGTGAAGCTATTTTTCACAAAAACAGTAGAAGAGCCATCCAACCCAGAAGCTAGCAGCTCAACTTCAGTAACACCGGATGTTAGTGATAATGAACCTGATCACTATAGGTATTCTGACACCACTGACTCTGATCCAGAGAATGAACCTTTTGATGAAGATCAGCATACACAGATTACTAAAGTCTGAATATTTTTTTTTTTATTTGGGAAAAAATACCACAAAGAAGAAAACTTGAATAAACTGAATTATGGACCTTTTAAAATGGCAATAGGACATTGTGTCAGAATTATCTGTTGTAGGAACAGTTCTTTACCTGACCAATCTCATTTTGCCCTATTAAGCCTTTGGCTTGACACTTGTCCCATTGAAAAAAGAAAAAGGTTACGTAGCTATGTTATGTATATACCTTTTGGTATCAAGAGGACATTGAAATTTCAATTAGGAATACACAAAAATGGCACTTTCCCATTTGATTCCAGTTTTATAAAAGTGGAGACAGATCTGATGTGTATACGTAGGAATCTTCCTTTTGTGTTCTGTCACCAACTGAAGTTCCTGTAAAGCTCTTTCTAATACACAGGTTCACATCCTGCCCCTTTCTTTGCACTTTTGTGGCAACAGATAAGTCTGCAGTTGGCTCAGAGAAGTTACTGGGTTTTACTACATTCAGATGCATGTACCATGGATAGGAGTGTGGAAGGAGAAGCTGAGAAAGGAATGTTCTGTGCTGGACCCTGGACTGTGTACCATTTCTAGCTTACATGCACCTCTTTCGCATGCTACAGTAATAAATCCTGGACATTTGAGGAATTGCCGCTGTCACTGCTTGTTTGTGCATTTTATTTTTTTAAGCATAATGGTGCTAGAAAAGGCAGCTGGAGGGGAACAGGAATGAACCTTCAATGGCATCATAAAAGCTCTATGAATAAAGGGATAAGAAAAAATGTGGTTATACGTGAAACAAACTGTAGGTGTTCAGCTTGCACACACAAGGGTTAAAAGTGAGGTGACTGGGTGGGCATACAAGCTCCACCCCAACATCCCTGCACATCTAGCTCGTCTGCAGAATGTCACATATACCTGTAGTCACTAAGATCTGTAGGGAGTTATAATGCTGCAAAGAATGTAATTACTGTTCAATGTTTGGAAAGCTTGATAAGGCTGGAGTCCCCATTGCCAGAGTTGCAGGTGTATCAGATTGAACACGGCACCCCCTGCAGATCTTCCTGCTCTAGGCATGGGGATGTTGTGGGTGATGCTTACCTGTGCACCCTCACCCTTGGGATACTTTCAGTGCATATGTTTGCAGTCTGAATGCCTGCAGAGGGCTACAATAATAATAACTTAATCGTACCAATGTGATAGTTATCTAGCAGAAACGGGCTTACAAAATTGTTTTGTGTGTTACAATTGCCATTCCCCGAGCTTTGGATGAAAAACGTTGGAGCAATATTTTTTCTAAAAAAAACAATAACAACCCTCCCCCCCCCTTTTTTTTGTCTTTCAAAACATTTAGAATTGCCATTTTGATTTTCTGTGTAAAAACCTGTTTGCTTATTGGTTAACATGTTCATTATTAGTTATCCCACTTGAGTAAACAAATTTGAAATCCATTGTGCCAGCCCATTAGCATTAATAACAAGGTTGTAGTGGCAACTAGTCAAGGCAAAACTCAGGCTGAATACTGGACAAAGGAGCAAGCTTGCTCCTTCAACATTCATTGGTGAATTTTGTTATCTTTCCTAATCCTGTGTGTAGTTCTGTGCGTATAATTTTATACTGATTTTTAATAGAGCTTGCATGTAGCTGCACAGAATCATAGCTTTCATCCATTATGTAAACTTTTTAAAAAGCTAATGTTCAGGCTTCCTAAGTTGATCCAGTTCTACAATATGGAAGATGGAGATTTGATTGGCAAGAGGTGACTTCAGAATTACCTCTGGTTTTTGTCCAGTGAACTGCATTGAACTTGGCTTTTATTCAACAATTTTGCAAGCGACATTAGCTACCTGAAAAAGTAGTGCTTTAAACTATTTGGATGTTGACAGTGTTCAATGTCTTGTACAGTTCTGCTATTTAGCAGGGAGCGCCGGATTGGAAATTGTTGAATGGCTTTTTGCACTGTTGTTTTTCCTTTGGAGTGTGAAGGTCTGAGTAAGGGTTTTGGATTTTGAATGTGTCAGTGGTTCTGAGAAGCCTTGCTTATGTTTTTATGGTATAGTCATTGGAAAGGAAAATGTCATTATTTATATATACATATATATGTATGTATGTATAACATATATATTATGCATACTCTCCTATACTTTATTTCAGCTACCATCCCATAGAACATGGCAAGAATTCCTCTGACTGAAAGGTTTGAGTCATAATTCAAACTTTATTTATAGCAGTAGTCATCATTGGCGTGAAAATGCATTCTCCTTTGGTAATTTCTTGAGTTTCTGAACTGTGTGCTTAAATTCTCGGATGTACAGTAGCTTACATGTCTGAAATTACTTGAAGGCATCTTGACAGGAGCTTACTGTTAGGCCCTGTGCCATCCCTCCTCATCTGTAGTCCAACTTCCAATAGTTTGTTACAATAGTTAAAGGGCAGTCGTATAAATTAGCACCAAGGGTTTTTGCTGTGGCATGGTTGTAAACCGAAGGGTCGTTTATATGCAGCATCAATTGCTTTCAGCTTTAAGGGAGGGAAAAAGGAAGAAATAAGTTTAGGGTGCCAGTGTACAGTTCCATGTTTAAATTCTAGCAACGTGCAATATGTTAACGATGCCTGTGGTTGCCACAAAGTGCCTCGTTTACCTTTTTTAAAATACTGTTAAAATGTGTCATGCATGCAGATGGAAGGGGTGGAACTGTGCACTAAACGGAGGCTTTAATTGCAGTGCTTGGGTAAAGCTGCCTCTTTACTCTGCCAGTTCAAAATTCTCAGTTTGTTTTCATATAGAACACACACACACACACACACACACACTTACTTTACAAAAATCTATTTAAGCAGCCTTATTCTGATTCAGCCTCTTCAGATACTATTGTGCTGTGCAACAGTGGCTCTGTGTGTAATGCTATGCACACAACAAGAAAATGACATGTACAGGTTAATGTCTCATATGAATCAGATGTCCGTTTGTTATTGTGTTTAACAGCCCTTTATCTTAGTGTTAAAACTCCACTTAAAACTGATTAAAGTTTCATTCTTGTCACTGTGTTGGGTGTATTAAGTCACTTTTGTGAGATGGGCGGCCATATAAATTGTTTAAATATATAAATAAATAAATAAATAAATAATAAATATATGGAAGTATATTGAATAAAATGCTTATGTTTTTATAAAGTCATGTGATTCATAGTAAGCACATTTTAAAACACCACCAAATTTCAAATTTCTTAAAAAAGCAAATTGGTGGGATTTTGCAATTTTTTTTTATTGGATTTTAAAGGTAACACTTCCCTGTAATGGTTAGAGTATCATGAAATTTTCCATTGTGAATGTATGAATGTGACTATAAATAACTTTTCGTGTTCGGGATCTATACATTCTTTATTTTGGGTGCATTAGAATGGGCACAGCTGAGGCTTTGCATTAAAGCAGGGACAGGTAACATGGTGCCCTCCATATATATTTTCACTACAATGCGCTCAGTTTCTTGCCTTTGGGCTAGCTGTGGCTGATGGGCACTGAAGTCCAAAACATTTGGAGGATGTTGCATGCCTAACCGTACATTAAAAGGTTGCATGTGAAAATATGTTTAAAAGATTCTGGTATTTTCTTCAGTTAAAAGTAGCCATAATCACAAGTTTGAGAAATCTGCCTGAGGTCAAGAAAAGCCAAAGAAGATGGTATACGAAATAGCCAGCTATCCTGGTTGGATTGTAAGGCAGCTCTTTTACTTCCATTCCATACTAGAGCACTTAAATGTTACAGCTTGAATGTACATCAAATGTCTAATAGAAGTCTTTGTTTTCATGGTAAGACGTTAGCTTGAATATATTAGATCAGGGTGGGTTTAATCCTGCAGCCTTTAAATCTCTTATCACCACTAGAAACAAGCAATTTTAGGGAATGATCTCTTTCCCTGCAAGAATCAAATACGGCAGAAGGGTTTGTGATGTTAATATCTCTGGAAACTGCTCCAAAGTCTTTTACAAGATTAAAGTAAATATGCATAGCTTTGCTGGAAACCAGTGTAAGAATTTTGTTTAAAACTACAGTAATTGTTCAGGTTTATTATACGGTTGGCTATCTATTAATTACATACAGACAATTTTAATTGAATGTCGAAATGATCTGAGTTTGTAGCATTCTTGAGCGATGTACTCAGTTCTGCACAAAATGTCCTTTTATGCTGTACTTATTTCAAAGATTAAAAGTCTCACAACTGTTCTTACCACTTTGGAGCAGCATCAGTGGAAATGCAGGCACAGCTTAAATCTTACAAATTTCATCTGCTTGTGTTTCTTGTAACTGCATCTAAGCATTTGCATGTGCTTTAGCATGCTAGTCACCGATATTTGCTTTTACTGTAAAAGACTTACGAATCTGAGAAAGAAATCTTATTGTACACTGGTTGATTTAAAGAAAACATGATAAATTCAATAGACTTGAATTATGAAATACTTTGTGGAAATAGGTGTGTTGCTTGAATACAGTAAGAGTACTATATGATGGAAGTAAAACATGCACAAGAATAAATGGAATATTTAATGAATAGTTTATTTGGCACTAGGAGTAAAAGAAAAATGTATTGGTTGTTTCATGTATTTATGGATAAACCTGTTAGGAATGATTGTGGTGATGCTAGCAGTGTGTTGGTTGGGCACATGAACATGCATATACTTCGTATGCAGTCACTGCAGTTTTGTTGTCTCAGAACCTAAATGATTTTCAGTGAATGTTAGGTTGTATGATGCTATAAGGAGCATGGATCTGAAAATCAGCCCCTCAAAGATCAAGGTAGTGTTTGTCAAGGAAAATGGAACAAACAATTGCAAGTTATACATAAATGGCAAAAAAAAAAAAAAAAGAGAGAGAATTGGAGAAGGCAGATGAATTTGTTTACTCTAGTAGAATGCTTGCTTTTTTTTTTTCCTGCTTTCTAGTCAGACTTAACTCTTGGCAACTACATGGACAAGTCCATGCAATTTTGGCAGCAATTTCAGAAGTGGCTTGCCATTGCTTTTTTCCTAGGGACGAAAGAGTGATTGGCCCAAAGACACCCAGCTGGCTTCTAGCCTAAGCCGGGACTAGAACTCTTTAAGTTTCCCCACTCTCACTCCAATACCTTCACCCCTAGACCCAACTGGCTCTCTTGAATGCTTACTAGAGATGAGAAAATGGATGCAGAAATTTTAACACATGCAAATGCCAGTAGAAAGATAGTGGGTGGTACTATGGTTTATTGTGAGGAATGATTTAGTTGAAAGAAACAAACATGCTGTGTTTAACAGCCTGATTCTGTGGACTTTCTTATATGGAAATGAGAGCTGGGTATATCAATAGAGGCATAGAAATAAATTGGATGTAGTGGGAATAGGATCAAGAATGGATGAGTGCTGAATGAATGTAGATTCTATATAGAGGTGAGCTACCAGTACAAAAGAAGTACATTGAGATGGTTCGGTCACATAGAAAGATTGAATTAGAATCAGATTGTAACACAAATATATGAAGACAGACTGGGTTAAGAGGGAAGACCAAGAAAGTTCTGTTTAGATGGATCTGTTGAGTTCCTCCAAAATATATAAGAAGTTTAAGGAATTACAAGCAGTGGTGCATGGATGTAGAAGGAACAAGGATAGTTTGCATGGGTTAGTAAATTATGTAGAGGTATATAAATGGGGATACAGTAAATCTATATTTCCTCCCCCCCCACCCCTTTCTCTCATGACTTAATTTCTTTGGCTTTTTCTTGCTTTTTTCCTTTACTTGCACAATATTGCTTACCTTAAAAGAAAATAGCGTGATGGAGATGATTGATAACTTAAAAAAGAGGGGAAAAAGATCATGTTGGTGTCTTTTTTATTCCTTCCTGCTTGTGTATTAAATCTGCTCCACCAAGAACTGATGCAATTTTAAGCCTTGCATCAGTGAATATAAACCAAGAATTGCTTGCAATTGCAAACCTTCAAGAATTCAATGTTTGGATGAAACTTAAAAAAAAACAACAACAACCAAAAATGCAGGAAGTCAAGGTGATTTAAAAAGATGTATTTTACTGAAATCTTACCATTGCCCACGTCAGGCTATACCTGTATACTCTGTCAAGTCCATAGTTGCCAATTGAAACTATTAATGCTTCATTTTCCTTGCCATTCAAGATAAGTGAGTGGGCATATGCATGAATGGGAAGGATCTTTCACATCCCCATTTTACTATGATCAGATAACTAAGAATGTTTAGAGCGTCCTTACTTTTGACTCTGAATGTTTCTCATTATATTACTTAGAAAATATGCAAATCTTTGTCTTAAATCTAAAATGATCATTGGAAATCAAGTTGGAGCATCATGATTTTTTTTAACTGACATTTGTTCCTGCAGGTAATATTGTTGATAATGTTTTCGTTGAAAATGTTTTCTTGAACCACAATTTTAGTAATTTCTGCAATCCTTTCCTCACTCTTGAGTAACTGTAGTTATTTACCAAAGTTGAATGTTCTATCAAAGCTAATTACTGATTTTTTTTTTAAAAAAAATAAGTTTAGAAAATTTTGAAATAGAAACAAATATTTAACAAATATTAAAGGAAGTAGAAAAAGAAAACTAGAAAAAAAATGACCAAGGTCAAAAGTGCGAAAAAACAAAAAGATAAAGAGTTGACTTCCAACTTTCCTTACAACAGATATAAGTAACAGTATACATCAATCTCTTGCTGTAAGTTTACAACATAATGTTCCTTATTACTAATCATATTCCATATTATTTCTAATCAAATCCATACAACATAATTTCCTTTTTTTCTGTTTCCCACAGAAAATCCAGAGTTTCTAATTAACATTAAAAGTACACATTGTCTTTTCTCAAATCAAATATTAATTTCACCATCTCAGCCAATTCCATTAGCTTTACCATCCATTCTTCCATTGTAGGTAATGTCATATCCTTCCACCTTTGTACATATAAGAATCTTACTCCTGTTGCATATAAGAGCAAAATTCCATAAATTTAATAAATGTATTTTAACCTTAGTCAAAAATAAATCCATTTTATAATCCAATTTATCATTTTTTCTTTAAAAAAGCAAATGAAATCTCTCCCTCTTTATACACAGATCCTTAAAAACTCATCATTCAATCGTCATCACAAAAAAATGCCATTAGTAACTACCAAAAACCTCAACATATATACTAACCATAATCAAATAAGTTCACTTCGTAAACTTTTTGTTTACTTTTAAAAAGCTTAATCTGTAATCCTTTCAAATAATGTCTCACAAGTTGATTCCCCATCATTCTCTCCTTGTCTTCTCCAAGAAATAGGCCCAGTAATTTCTCTTTGTCTCTTCCCAGAAACAGCCTCACCGGTTCAGTGCATTCCTTTTGTAAATCCAAGATAAAAAGTATTTCCAAGTCACTCTTCTTTTCCATTATTTATATGTCCCCTTGATCATTGTGACATCAGTTGGTTTCATTTGTAAATCTGTTCTGGCATCCTTTTCCATATCACTCTTATCCTTTGGCATTTTTAAATCCATTTTCAAATCTACAGCATCTTTGTTCATGCCACTGTCATAGTCCAGCATTTTTTTAAATTCAAAATTCACATTCAAATCAGTCTCCTCCATTTCAAAATTAACTATCTTATCTAATCTTTCCTCTATCTTTTTTTCAAGGGACTTGAATTTAGCTCCTAATTCATCAAACATTAATTGGAATAAACTTAAAGAAGCCATTTCATCTTCTAACGGCTGCTCCAAAAGACCTAGCTATCCCCCCCTCCACAAAGCAAGCAACCATACATATTGTATAAGTGAAAATAAGTAGACTGTTCACACCTTCTGGTACCTTTCACACTGTAATTGCAGGCATGTGCCAGCAAAAAATACACAGAGGACTCAGATTACTATCTTCTGTTTTGAAAAGCCAGTGAATCAACAAGTTTACCACAGGAAAAAAAAATTCCCATAGAAAAATCCAATTAATACAGATGGAGTTTCATAAAATTAAATTTTAACAAATCTTCCCCTTTCACCATAAGTAACTTTT